CCCCCAGTTTCTTAATGAGAACGGGGTGAGAGACAGTGTCGAAGGCCTTCCGAAAGTCCAGGAAGACTATGTCCACTGCTACCTCTGCGTCTAAGGATTTGGTGACCTGGTTGTAGAAGGCCACCAGGTTGGTCTGACAGGACCTGCCGCTAATGAACCCATGTTGGTTGCCCCTAAGCATAATCCCCCATGCTGGCCCCTCGTGGACATGTGCCAAAATAATTCTCTCAGAAAGTTTGCCCAGGATCGGGGAAAGACTAACTGGCCTATAGTTTCCCGGAACCACAGTGGCCCTCTTCCAGTCCTCTGGCACCACACCAGAGCACCACAAGTGCTCGTACAGCCATGCCAGGGGTCCCGCAGTGACCTCAGCTAATTCCCTCAGCACTCAGGGGTGGAGATCGTCCGGACCAGCTGACTTAAATTCGTCCCGTCCCTCCAGAAGTTCCCTGACTAGATCCTCACTGACCCTTGGCCTGGGTGCGCCTCCCCTGGGGCCTGAGGGGGGCCCGGTGGGGGGGCTGGTCTGGTCTCTGCTCAGGAAAATGGAGGCAAAGAAGTCATTAAATAGGTTAGCTTTGTCGTTTGGTGTGACAACCAAATTTCCTAGCTTGTCCTGCAGGGGCCCCACGTTACCTGGTGCCTTCTTTTTGCCCCCTATGTATTTAAAAAAGGATTTCTTGTTGTCCTTGATCCAGGAAGCTAGTCCCAGTCCCATCTCCGCCTTGACCTTCCTGACTGCCCCCCTGCAGGTGTAACTGTCATTGAATTTCTTAGCAAAATGCAGGAAAGGGCCCGAATGAAGACTCTGGTTCTAAACACCTCTTCCACCTAGAGGTGCTTAGTGCCATTAGATCCCACCTCTCATCCAGCAGCAACCTGATGTCCCTATTTGAGGGGTTCAAAAACTGAATCTAGGCCCAATTTTTTGTGGGTTAAGTCTGTGTTAGTGCACCAGATTCATAATTGGCTTTCCTTGATTACCAAGCTAAAAAGCTCACCTTGAAGGAGCTGTCCTGCCTTGGGTATTCCAGACAGTTCCCGTCACCCTGCTTGGAATGAATGAGTGAAGAGCAAAAGGAATATTTCATCCTATTGCACCAGGTGAAACAGGCTGCCTATTAGATGGGCAGTTTGTTTCAATCAGGCTTATATTATGGAACATACGTATCAAACAGCACTTCAAGTCTCAACCCTGGCACAGGCAGCAGGAAGCCAGACTGAAGTCTGGAGTGTGAGGGAGGGATGGGAGTACATCTTTGCAACACAGATGGCGTTTGCCGTTCTTTGTCTCCAGATTTCCCCTCTCCTGCAGCCTTCCATCACCAGCTCCACACCCTGTCCCTCAGCTGTTGATAAAGGGATTGTTGATATGGGATAGTGTCCTGGCAATAAGGTTGATTTAAAAAGTGGGATTTACTGGACTGTAGAAGCTAAATGCAAAAATAAATCTTATTGATTGTGCTGTGTGTAGATAAAACTCAGTTCAATTGGAGGTTTAAGGTCTTATTTATGGAAGCTGGATGTTTGCAAATTAATAATCTTGCTTTCTCCTATGGAGGGGGACAGTTCTACTGCTGCATTTATCTGGGCCCCAGAGATAAGCTACTTGCACAGGGAACCTTATCACTCTGACATTTTCATTTTCTAGGTTGTTGGCTCTCAGGCCAGAATCTTGTATTCTGATCAGAAGGGTCGTGTGTCTATAGCAGTGGCTATTAATCAAGCTATTGCTGAAGGAAGGATTAAGGTATGGCTTTTTCGCCTCAGTACAGTTTGGTAATTGTGTCTTTAATATGAGGGTAGAATGGGAAAAGCAAAAAGATTCAACTAATGTTAATAAAAATGTAGATCCAAAATTCTGTTGTCCAAGGTAGAGACAAACTCTGCTCCCTTGTGACGTCAGAACACACCCATTGACATCCATGAAGATGAACTGATGTAAGGAGAGTTGGATTTAGAGTATGAATCCAAAAATGCCGCATTTAATCCCATGTAAATAATGTGCCAGGTGTATTTGGGCATCTGCAAACACCGGAGGTTGTATTGTTAGCACTCACTCCCACTGGCTCTGAAAAGAAATTTAACACAAGTCAATACTGAGCCTGATGCTGCCATGCTTATGCATGCTGAATACTTAGATGCTTCTTAGGATGAGTAATGGAGATAAATGTGCTTCTTGAAACATAGTACACAGACAGGAATACATATATATTGGGATTTCCTAAGCGGTTTGTGTGTTTTGTATATGATTTTACAGCATGAGGCACTGTGAGATTTGTATCCTGTTTGGGACCTAAGTGCACTACCATAGATGACATTCCACCATATTTAAATGTTCCAGAGGATCTGAAAATGAAAGTTGTTGAATGCCATAGGCAGAGAAGGGCAGTCTGATCAGTCTGATCTGCTTCGCCAGTCCTGATCTCATCAGGGTGGATCAGTTTGATCTGCTTAAATACCCTTCCCCTTAGCATCCGCTCTCACCTGTGAGAGTTAGGATACGGGGCTTGGTGGACCCATGGCTTGACCCAATTTGGCATTTCTTGAGTTATTCAGGTTGGGCTCAGCTGGCACATATATATGAGAGACTCTCCCAGCATGCTAAAACTATGCAGAAGACAAATGCTTGGTTGAACTGAATGAATACATGCATCCATGTTATTCTCATGAGTATTTAAATGATACACATTGTGGTGTTTGTCTTCCTGTATTCTGGTGTGGCAGGCTTGGATGTGCACACTTTTGTGTGCAAGAGTAAGATAAACCAGGTCATGTACTTATAATAGATCTGAGCCTCAAGCGTCAGATCTCCAGCTCAATTTCCAACCCCCCACATCCAGCCAACCAGGCAGCTGCTCAGATTTATTCCTTTCATTCAAACCCGTTATCTGGTTTTACTGTTCAGAGAATCAGAAGGCCTGATTCCTCTTTCACAGAGGCAGGTTTTCCACTAGAACTACTCTGGCTTCCTGTTTCTGTCAGTGCATCAGAATTGGGCCGAAACATGTTAAATCATTCACCCCCTTTCCACTGTCAGAGCTGTATTATTATCTTTATAAAGAATCAATTTCATGTGATGTGATTGTCAACTGAGGAATGTCTGGGTTGTGTTACTGAGAAAATGTTTATTAAAAAAGTCCATATACTGCCCATCTTCTTGGGATTCAAAATGAATGTCATTGCAAGCCAGTCTTAAAAAATGAGCCTGACCAGACAGAGCTAACCCTCAGCGCTATGAATGACAAGGTCCGGCTCCCACACTTTTCGGATGCTGTTCTGTCTCTTTTTCATCCATTTGGAGTCTCACTTCCCCCTCTTCTGCCACTTGGGAGAGCGAGAAGCAAAGGTCCTTTTTAAGCTATTCCATAATTTCCTTGCTGCACAAAGCAGAGCGAGCAGATTGACTCTGGATCAGAGGTGTCAAACTCACCTGTGCTTCCAGGCTGGACCTGGACTGCAGAGCTTTCCTGGGCTGGGTGTGAATGGCAACAAACTTCCCAGGTCAAAACTGGGCCCAGTAGTGCCAGTATGGGAGTTAACATAGCCATGGGCAGATCTAGGATTTTGGAAAAAGTGGTTCAGATGGTGCAGCATGTCATATAACAACAGAAATTTTTTCCTGTGATTAAATGGAAACTGGAAGCATTATTAATATGCTGGGGTTCTAGCACTGTATTGCTCAGTTTAAGATAAAAGCCAAAACAAATATAAATGTATTGAAGTGTGCACTGATTTACTAGATTATATAGTCAATCCATAAAAACACAACAAACCAGGCAAAAATAGTCAAAAGATATTGTTTCATTAGTCCTGTACTCATTATATGAAATGTACATTTCTTGTTCAGATTTGTAAAAAAAAAATCTAGGCTTCTTGAGTGCTTTCATCATGCCTCCAGTACTTTGCTGTCAGTCATTTCTATGCCTGAGTTAAGGTTTTTAGCTAGAGCTAACAACAGTCTGCAGGGCTGTCAAATAGAAGTGAAACATTACTGGCAACATCTAACAAAGCAAAATTGTAGAAGAAAGTGTAGTCTGAATAGTGGAACATTAAGACCATTAAAAAGGAGAAATGGTCATTAACACCTGTAGAGTAGATTACAGTGAGCTGTGAAGTTAAGTGACTCCTTCACTGCTGCCTGAATAGAAATGCCACTGCCACTGCCAGGAAGTTTGTTCTAAAGACCCAAAGTGAGGTGCAATTGCATCATGCCCCCCTCTCCCCCCAGGCTCTTCCCTGAGTACAGTCTTTGTTCATCCACTGACAAATATGTGCACTGGGGCTCTCGGCCCTAGATTTTCGCAGCAGGACCCACCCCTGCTTGCACCACCCCAAATTTCCAGCGCCTCTGAGAGCCCTGCAGGCTGAATGAAACAGCAATATGGGCTGGATTTGACCTGTGAGGCATGTGTTTGACACCCCAGCTCTAAACGATTCTAAGAAAATGGAGCTACTTTGGGGTAAAGCATGTGCAAACAAAAGGAAAATCAGGCCTTTTCAGCTAACGGAGGTCAGGAGTGCAGGTCAGAAAACAACTTGCTTTAGCTGTCCATGATTATTAATATTCAGTGTTCCCTTATCCCTCGTTTTTTATTGTCACCTCTTTGAATGGGTTGGATCTTTTCTGATGGAATAGTTTTCTGTCAGAAAAATGCCAGTCCTCATAACTTGAAGCAAACCATGGGAACATGACCATTTGGATGAAATTCTGATGGAAACCAGCCAGATTTTTGACAGAGCACAGGTTACCAGGAGGGCTCCCATTAGGATGCTTACTAGTTTGTCCTCTTCCCAGGGTTTTCAGGATCTGACTGTCTCAGAGCTGGAGTTCCTGGGACTTCCAGGTTCCCCTGGCAGGTGTACTGGTGGTGCCTCAAGCAACTCAGGAGACTCAGAAACAGTTTGGAAAGGGCTACATAAAATGTTACTTTGACACTACGCAAGATTTTTTGTTTTGTTCTGTTTTGTGGGAAAAGACAAAATTTCAGTTTTATTCTGTTTCATTTGGTTATGCTAATACTGATAAAGTTACAATGTTAAACTGTAGAGAGGAATGTATTTAAAAATCTATTTAAAGCCTCAGATTTCAAATTAATTTAACATTTTCAAAAATATTCCTAATTCATGAAAAAATCCCTTACAACTCTCCCTTAAGACTGTATTTGCTTTTGTTGTTCAGAAGCAGAGATATTTTTGAATGAAGACTACCTTAGAATGTAAAAGTTGGAAATTTTAGAGAAAAATCAATTTTCATAAAATAATTGTATTTCTTTCCTTTTCCTTTTCTTTTTTCCCCGTGACAATAGCAATTTCAGAGATTTAAGAAAAAAAATCCTCATCATGTTTTGGTTTTGAAGTGATGGTAATTTTCACACAAGTTAGGGCTTCTTACCAGTTATAAGAATAATAACAGAAAGAGAAGGAAATCAAGAAGGTAAAATTATAGAGAAAAGTTAGTTTCAGATGAGATTTGAAAAGAGAGACAAAACAATGAGGTGGCAGTAAAATCAGTGGAAAACAGTCTTTGACTGACAGATCTGACAGTCCATGTAGGAATCCACTTCCTTGTCCTTGGCTTTTGCAGGCACCTGTTGTCCTTAGTCGAGATCACCATGATGTGAGTGGGACCGACAGTCCTTACAGAGAGACGTCAAACATTTATGATGGATCGGCCTTTTGTGCAGGTTAGCAGCTCAGCACAGACTTGTTTGTCCAGGCAAAGAAACTGCTTAAAAAGATAAATGTCTTGAATAGGACTTTTTTTTAAAATAAATGGTTTTGTTTAACTCTTTACTTCCAATTAATCAGATTTCCTGTTAACTTGACACTAGGACTTTATGGGATTTAGTTATGATACAGAAATGGGCTCTTGATAACATTTATCCATCTGGAGCAACACTGCAGATTCAGAGGAGATCCAGGGTGGAAACTGATGTTGCCTTTCATCACCTTTGTGCTATCCCAAAAATTTTTATGGTGGCACAAAGAGTAAGCAAACAGATAACTATGCCCTTTGTTGCACCATCTGTGCCCAAAATTTGTTGCTGCAATAAAGATTATATTCATTTGTGCCACTATTTAGTGGTAGACATCTATTTCCTTCGTGGCAGAAGAGCACAAGCAGCTCAGAGCTGCCCACACTCTCCAGCTGTCCTGAGCAGGTGCTCCAGGGGCTTGAGGGGTGCAATCCTGCACATCCTGGGAATTTCCATACAGGATCGGGCCCCTTAAGACCCTGGAGCACCTGCTCATCTTTCTCCTCATACACATCCCTGATTCATTTCATTTGGCAATGTCTAATTCTAGCCTTAAATATAGATCCAGTATAATTCAAGTATAATTCAATAATAGATCCAGTATAATTCAAGAACAGCATGTGTCCCACTGGATGTTATATTGTATGCAATGCACCTGTATAAACTAAAGGCATGATCTCAGTTGAATTACAGAAGTATTAACTGGTTAAACATGATCAAAATCACGTCCTGTATGTACAAAAGTGCTCTATACAGAACTGGTAGACACAGCACTAAGCACTCAAAAACAGGCAGTGAGAATCAGTGAGTACTTTGGAAAATGTTAACATGAATCTTTCTATGCCTCAGTTTCCCATCCATATAATGGACATAAATCACAACAACCTGTATATCCCAGTGGTGTTGCCAGGTATCACTTACTGCTGTTTGTGAAGTACTATTAGCAGACTTCCAGAGCTTAAAAAAAAATACTTTTATTATAAGAGGGAAATCCAGCAGTTCATACGGTGGGCAAATCCTGGCTTATTTTAAAAAATGGAAGTTATTTCTACTATTTTCCTTTAACCTTTCTTGAATTATATGAAAAACAGGGCCCTTCTCTAGATACCCTGAATGTAATGGGAATCCTTTCCATGATTTCAGTCATCTGTAAATCAAACTCTAAAGATGCTCCTAAAGATGAGTTTCTGGAGAGAGGATGGAGAAATTTTAGGGCTCCTTATTTGCTGTTTTCCTTTAAACCAATTCCAGTATTGCAAGCGCAGAGCTTCCCTGTTTTAATTCCACCACTTGCAGCACATTGGATTGTTCTACAGCTTTAGCTCATCTGTTGTAGCTTTGCGTAAAGTGCTGTTACTTGATCCTTAGAAAATGGGTCATCTCTTGTCCAGGCAGAGGTTGTGGAGGAAAGTGCATTGTGGCACTGACATTTGTTCAATTAGTCACCTTTTCCAAAGCAGAGGTCTTGCTAGTTATTACAGCATTAATTCACCTGCCACACAGCCCTCTAACCTTGACACTTATGAAGCAAATGGCTGAGAAGAAGGAAGATTTTACATTTTTAGTATGTACACTTTTATTGCTTCTATCCTCACTGCCACCTGATAGAGTTATAATTATGTTAACTGAGGTATTAAAGTGACATAATGCCAGACAAAATTATGCCATAATGAGAGCTTTTTTGACAGGGTTTTAACATGGATCAGTGGCATCATAAGTTGGCTTTTATATGAAAATGCAGTATTTGCCACACTTCAAATGTAATTCTGCAGATGTGTTTATCTGTTTCTGTAGGTTCTGTTTTTGCTTGTAAATCCTCAGCAAATGACTTAAAGCCTTGGGTAAGGTTGGCAGGAGGGCCTAATGCATTACCTTCTGCTGCATGCGATTTTTCCCACTTGAACCCAGTTTGTGTGCACTCTATGGTCTGAAGTTTGTACACACGGTTAAGAGTTCAGAAGTATGCAGCATGCAAGTGTTGGTACCCCCAGTTGGACAGATAAATGTACATCTGTGTGCATGCAATAGTTATGTGCATTTCAGTGGAGGTCCTGCAGAGACAATCAGGCTCCCGGATTTATATTTTTTGTTTGTTCTTGCTCCTTTTAAACAGCTGGAGTAAATTCTGCAGTTTGGAAGTGTTCAGGGTAAAATTCAGTCCTGTGCAGAGTCAAGGCAAACCTGATTGCACTACTTAAGTCCCATGTATGACCTTGTAACAAATTTGATGTGATGTCAAGGGCTAAATTTTATTCTAAGGCCACATCTATGCGGTAAATGTACCATTCCCAGCAGCAGTGCTCTTTAGCAACCTTGGAAGAGTTGTGGCAGAGCAGCCATGGTTGGCAAAGGATTCCAGGGGTCAGCCTGCCAGCCTGGGGCTGCTCCAACTCGGCTCAATCTGCTGTGGAGGGACTGACTGTAGCACCCTTGCGCCCCAGATAGCTGCAGTCAGCATCTACACATGTGTTGCAATGGAGTAAATAACTCCACCATAGCATAGTACTTGTGTTGGGCAGTACTGTCTTATGGCAGAGTTAATTAGTTTATGCCAGCCTAATAACACTGCACGTGTAGATGCTGATGCTTTACTGCAGAGCTAATTATTCAGCTCTGCAGTAAATAGCTCATGTAGATGTGCCCACTAAGAATTACATTACATCATCTTTTTACTGTAAAAAGTAGTCCATCTATGCAGTCTTATCCATCCTAATGAATGCTTACCTCTTTTCCTCTTAGTTTTCCACAGTTGTCCTTGGGCAGGTCTCTCATTTAAAATCTCCAATTTACATGTGTATAGATGGTATCAGAATCCCAAGAGGTCAAAGCATCTTGTGAGGTTGGCACGTGCTTCCTTTGTAGAAAGACAGGGGATAGTAAAAAAATCTCTCTTCCCCTTGCTGTCCCCAACAATGTCATTATTATATAAGACACAGGAATAAAGATGGTTTTGCTACTTGACTGAGGAAAAAAAGCAGAGATGTAATTACAGGCATTACATAGACCAAATAACACATTTCAGCACTGCAATAACTCATCTCCTTTCTTCCTAGATATGGCAGTACAGAATTTTGTGGGAGATGCCTTTAGAGGAGCCACATGGGTTGCCTTACACAATGGTGGTGGAGTTGGCTGGTAAGGAGAACTTGGCTTTACCTGAAGGGAAAATAAAGCCTATCCAGTTAATATTGGTGTATGTGAGGGAAGACAATTCAGTCGGCAAAATGGCAGCAGTAAAAGGCCGTGACTATGGGAAGGATGGAGCTAAATGTAGGCAGGGAAGGCTCAAAGGGTATCTTATAGGTTGAAGAACTGTGTTGTATAAGTTATTGGGCTTTTTTAAATTACTGTCTATAGATTAAGAAAAAGTGTTTTAGACATTGGCCGTGGCACTATTTGGGAAACTAAATTAGTCAGGCAAGGACAAACCATGTTAGTCTGTTTGAACAGACCCCACTTCCAGCGTTGTCCTCACACATGCACAATCAGAGTGTCAGTGGATGGATTGTGTTTAGGTTTTCCCCGAAGCTACATTTAAATCAGTGACCTTAGGACCCCAATATAACATGCCCATGTGTTGAAGTGCAGCAAGGGGTTATTGATACAAAACAGCTCAGGTGCCTATAAACTTCCCCCACCCTTCCTTGAATTCTTCCCATGCTTGTGCCTGCCAGCATAAAAGGTAGCAGCAGTGAAAGCATTTCTTTAAACAACAGGACCCTTCTTCACACTAAATTTGAACTAGCTGGCATTTTTAATATGAGGAGCAGGAAAAAGTGATTGTCCTAAGGGAAGAGGAAGATGCACAATGGTAGAAGTATTTAACTCTCAGAGATCAGATTCTGATCCTAGATATAACAGTGGAAGCCCAGAGTAACTACTAAAAGTGTTGACCCTGAATCAACACTTTTCTAAGATTTTGATTCTGTCCACAGTGTCTTTCATCGTGTTATCTATTTGCCTCAGGTAGAAAGGCGTAAATAGATAAAAGAAGACTAATCAAATATTTGGAGGGAAAGGTATTTATTTCGCTGTTTAGTGTACTAAAGATGATTCAGTATACTTGCTTCTCATACTTCTACTTCAAGCAAAGAAAAAAGAAGGGCAAAATGATAAGGACTATTGATTTTTCACTTTTCAGGGTATTAGGAAGAGATCTTTCCACCCACCTGTGCAAAAATAAGTCTTCTAGAATGGTTAGTTAGATATCTTCTAAAGATGCAAAAGATGGATTAAACAGGGCCAGACCACATCACAGCTCTTCAACCTGCACCTTGATATAGCAGACAGCTTAAGCTTGGTAGAATTCCTGTTGATTTCAGTGGAAATACTTAAAGTTGAGTACATGCTTTGCTGTATGGGCCCTACTTACTGCAAAGATGGGTCCTGCCTAAATATTTAGAGAAAGATTGTGTCATTATGATATGGCATTTTTTACAGCTTTTATAGTACACTTAGGGGCTTTCAATTATACCATTACACATTAGTAAAAATTTGTTCTCCTTTTTCTGTCCTGCATGTAATAAAGTTGTGCTTGACTTACTCCTCAGAGCAGTTCTAGGGCTACATCTGCTACCATTCGTTCTTCGTTTTCTTGTGTAGCTATACCCATCCTGCTGTATAACTTGGGAACAGCTGGTTGTTAACAGGGTGAAAGAACTGTTAAATGCTGTAAAGAATCCTTGTTTCTATAGCTTTTCTGAAATACTGCAGAAGGAGCAAACCAGAATTGAAGAATTTGCAAGTAGACATTATCCAGAGATGTCCTGACTACAACGTGGCCCTGTTAATTGGATCCAAAATGTTTTCCTGTCCTGGTCAGATGGATCGTTCTTTCCTCTTTATTCTGACTCTAGGGATTTCAGTGGCGTTACCGATGACTGCAGTGAAAGGAATGTCTACACTTCAGGCAGACAGGGTTCTTTGGGTAAATCATTTTATTAGACCAACTCAATAGTTGGAAAAATTGTTCTTTGGAAGCTTTTAGGCACAAACACCCTTCTTCAGGCAGAAGGAGAGTTTGCAGTTGTACTGACTCTCCCTTTGCCTGAAGAAGGGTATTTGTGCCCAAAAGCTTCCAAAGAACAATTTTTCCAAATATTGAATATGTCTAATAAAAGATATCACATCTGCCCAAAGAAACTTGTCTGCCTATGTCCTTAGACCAACACGGCTACAACCTACACTTCAGGCACATTCTTTGCAGGAGCTCTGGACTGCTGCAGCTAGACTGTAATGGGTGCCTGAGCTAATTTAAAGCTCTTTCAGTACCTCTACTCTATGCTGTGGTCACTTTTATGGATGCAGTATTAATCCACCCTACGTGAAACTAGTCGGGCCCATAGGCAAAGGAAATAGTCAAATACTGAGAGTAAAATCCTAGTTCTGTTGAAACCAATGGAAAACTTGCATTGCATCCAGGATTTCATCCATAATTCCCATCCATTTAAAAAAGATATGTGCCTGAACCTCTCAACTGCTTTGGTTCTCTCAACCATAGAGGTTAAAAGTGGAAAAAATTCTAGATCTAAGTGAATAATTCATAATATGCCATTTATGTGCTGAATTTAGCCTTATTTGCTCAGGGAATATCCATGAAAAGGCATGACCTCAAACATATTTCAGTCTATAGCAGTGATTCATGATGTGAGATCCTTTTACATGTGACATATAATATTGGCACTGTTAGTATGCAAACAAGATAAACTCAGGGCTTCAAGTGGGAATCAAACATTCTGACCTGTCGTGGTTCTTCTGAGGTCTTTGCAGCAGCAGAATTGCTTTTTTTTTTCAGTACTCAAAAAATGAGTGAAAGCTAAGAGCTGGCATTTTCCAAGGAATGCCTTGAGTCTAAAAAGGTTGAAAATGTCTCTGCCCTGACTTGTGCCTCATTTTAGACTTTCTCACATGTATTTGTTATTCAAAGGTATGTGATTAATATCTGTAAGAATTGTTCATTCAAAGTATTGATGATAAATATTCAAAATGAAAGCTGTAGACCTAGTCATCTCTTCAAGGCCAGGGCAGAACGGTTGCCTATTGTATCTTTTTAGATTTTTGATCAGTCTAGAAAAATATATTAAGTGGGGAAACTTCCACTACTTCTTTTGGAAAACTCGTATGGGTTGAGTTGTAAAGTCAGTTACTGTATATAAATCTGATGGATACACTTCAGTGGAGTGGAATGGGTAGTACAGAGAAAGTACTTGCAATATGTACCAAAAATAAGCAAGTGGAAAATCAGAATATATCTGAGAATGCCAGTCTACCAGATGCCATGTATCATTTGGTCCAGTACTTGATAGGCTAAATCTTGCTCACCTAAGCCATATTGGGTAGTTCTGGACCTATGTGATGAAACAGTCTGACTTCAGTATAGAAGGCTGAGACTGAAAACTGTCCATCTCTGCCCAAGCTTATTAAGCTACCGTGCTGAGGCTCAGATGTTGTAACAATGAAATATCACTAGATGTTGCCATCTGGAGAGCCTTCTCCAAGCTCATGACACTACAGGTGGCTTTGTTCCATTTAACTAATCATAGATAACACCCAAGCTAGTTAAAACCATATCCCCCTTTGCTCCTCTATTGCTTCTTGGGAGAAAGGGAAGGATAATTTGAAGATTTTCTAAAAATTAAAAGGCCAAAAGACCACTGCAGAGGCAAGTCAGCTGGCCTTGCAATAAAGATGTCTCCTTATGCGTGGAGAAGATCTTCTCTATCTCAATGTAGATTTTTTTTTGTTCATATAATTTATTTTACACACACACACACACACACACACACACACACACACACACACACACACA